GTTTTTGACTATCTTGCTCTTTTAAAGATGGCTATTTGAAATACCAGTAACCAGAGCACTCATCTTGTACTTCAAACCAATTCCCTCGATGTAACATTGGATTGCTTTCATGGATGTGTGAAGAAACCTTATCAGAAATGAGATTCCTGTGGCCTGTAAACAGGTTAGAGATGTCTGCCCTATAAAAATAAGGACTTTTTTTCCTAGTACTTTTTAAACAAACTGGGGAACTATGATAGAAGCTAACAACAAATAAGGTTCATACACAGATTAAATGCCCATGTCATTATCTTTTTAGCTTTTTATGTTGACAATTTCATGGAGCTGATATAAGCAGGGTTGATAAAAGAACAAAAGCAGTACAGAACACTGACTAAATGTATAATTTAATTTGCATCTGCCAACTTCAATGTTGTGTTACATTGTTCTTTTATAACCAGAAAACCTACTTTAAAGGGGGAGGGGGAGTAGAGGGTCAGCGCAAAAGGGAGCACTCTATACCTTGCATTCAACCGGAATGAACAAAGTTATGCTAATACGTTCATACCACATGAGTATTTACAAAATATATTATTTGCACAGCTTAGAACCATAAGTATGAGACCTGACACAGCAGGCTAATTCATTTTCCTGAGTGGGAAAACTCTGGAAATTTATAACAGCACAACCACATTTGAAGAAAGACAAGGGGTCCCAGTCCCCCACCACAAAGGACAAAAGCAGGGTTTTTTTTTTTACACAGGAGAGCTAGAGAACTCACGTTCGCATGGCCACTCAACTATGGTTTCATTCCTCCAGAGAATTCCACCCCTAGTATAGACTAGCCACAAGAAAAAATGGCTTAGGTTTCCTTGCCAGAAATACCGAAGAACGCTCCATACAGCTCAGTCGTTTGACCAGTGGCAGCTCGGCCTGCCTCGCCCAGCAAAACCTGGTTCCAGAGAGTCCGAGGTGATGCAACCACAGCTTTGCCCACACCTTTCTTGGCAAAAGTTTTCCTTTGGAAGAATAACGTGTCAGCAGTGCCAAGATCCCTTCCACTTCAATACTGGTTGATACCGAAGAGACGGACCCCGTGGAACAGTGGTAATTTGGGCAAGAGGACGCTTAGGAGTGAAGTGGTGTTGATTACGAAGTGCACAGGGTCATATTTTGTATAAAAGCTGGTTAAAATGTACCTGAAGGGTAAGAAATATACTCGATTAGTGACAGATATGCGCTCGAGCCTCTTCAATAGCACTGAAATTCAAGTTGTACATGGCTGATAATCATTATGAGCTAAGGCTCCCAATTTCAAATGACTATGGAGACGTTATATAACACATGGTAGGAGGAGGCCCAAATTCATACACATGCAAAATGTAAGAAATATTAATATTTAAAAGCCCTGGTTGTGCAGAGGTTAGAATGCAGTACTCCAGGCAAATTCTGCCCACAGCCTGGAGTTCGATCCTGACAAGACTCGAAGTTGACTCAGCCTTCCATCCTTCCGAGACTGATAAAATGAGAAGCCAGATTGTTGGGGGCAATATGCTGACATTGCAATCCACTCAGAGAGGGCTAAAGCACTGTGAAGCGGTATATAAGTCTAAGTGCTATTGCTATTATTGATTAAAAAATAATTAAAGTAATAAAACAATTAAATCAATTATAGCAGCAATTTTAATAGCAAGGCTGGCCTGAGCAATACCCAACACTTACAGGATGATTGGGGAAATGCTTAAGAATTTGCGGGAGGATGTCCATTGTGTGCCATAGTCTATCTGCTCCCAATGTGTGAGTAAGCGATCCTTGCCCTGGTCAGGCGTTTCAAAGGGAGTCCCTTTCACTGTATGGAGAAACCAATACATCACCTGCAAGGAGCAAAAAAAAAAAAAGGAGTAACAATTTCTTTCTCTTTCTTTCTTCTTTTTCTTTCTTTCTTTCTTTCTTTCTTTCTTTCTTTCTTTCTTTCTTTCTTTCTTTCTTTCTTTCTTTCTTTCTTTCTTTCTTTCCTTCCTTCCTTCCTTCCTTCCCTTTTCTTTCTTTCTCTCTCTTTCTCCCTCGCACTTTTCAGTAAATGTGCAAAATCACCTAGGGCAGGACAATTTTGAAAAAAAAAATCCTAAATAAATTGTACAATGAATGAAACTGCAGTAGGATTGGAATATGGGCATTGGTGGTATAGGAGGCTCCCAAGATTAAAAGCTGTCTATTTGTATCCTAAATGCTCGGAACATGGCCAATAAATTGGTCAGGAATCAAGAGTTTTGACTTACCAGGTTATGGATAACATTAGTTAGAGTCCAGACCACAGGGACACTGAAGAAGGGAATGCTAAGAAAGATGATATGAAGCACAGCCACAGAAATGATGTAAGCTAACCAAATGCCTCGGCTGTTCATCACTCGTGTGTTGGGATTCATCTCACTGTGGGCTACTCCAACATTCATGCTGTTGAGAAAAATACATAGGTACATGTGTAGACACCCAGATATTGGTATTGGTGTGTGAATGCACATCAGAAAACCTAGAGCAGGCCCTCTTTAGGCTTGGTAGCTTGGGGTGGGGAAGAACAAACCTGAGCTATATGGAGTCAAATCAAAATACTGCTCAGAATCACTCAGTTAATCCTTGCACATCCCCTAATTTCCTCATAAAAATGGGGGGTAAGGAAAGCTATTAAAATACTTGTACACTAGTTGACAGTAATCTTTTACAATGCTCTTTTCCCACAGAAAAGGCAAGCATCTAAAATTGAACCAGAACCTTCACGACATCACCAGATCAGCCCATAATGGTGGATATCATCAGGATCATCATACCTTATCCCAGGGGTCTCCAACCATGGCAACTTTATGACTTGTGGACCTCAACTCCCAGAATTCCATGGCTGTCTAGAGAATTCTGGCAACTGAACTCCACAGGTCTTAAAAGTTGCCAAAGTTAAACACCCCTGCTTTATTCCATGCTGTAAGATGAACTTATCCAGGAGCTTCTTGTAGATGTAAAACATGAATAGAACACTGTTGGCTAGATCAGTGGCCCCCCAACCTTTTGGGCACCAGGGACTGATTCCACAGAGTGTTTTTTCCGTGGACTGGAGGGGCATAGTTTTGCATGCTGCCTGCATCTCGTGGATGGGGCTTCGCATGTTTGTGTGGCCTGGGTTCTGGCATGATGCAGCCCGGTGCTGCTCCATGGACCGGGGGTTGGGAACCCCGGCCTAGATGTCTCCCCACTATCAACTCCAACTGGAACAAGCCTAGAGGAGGGAGTCACTTGCTTTTATTATCAGAGCCATAACTGCCAGGCATAACAAAGCAAACAGTGACAAAACATCTAACCGTGATGACTTCATTATTGTTTCTCCAGCACAACTGTTTTCTTTTTAAAGACACTGTGGCATTTTCCAATGAATGGATATGAACAGCAGGATTATTTAATGGACTATTTTAATGGATATAAACAGCTGTGGAAGAAAGAATATAAAGCGTTGCCAGATAGCACAAACAGCCTGAGGTCGAGAAACTCCAGAGCTTCTTGCAATGGAACATTCACTAGCACTGATGATGTTACCTAGTTAGGCTAATGAAACATCTGCAAGAGAACGAACACGCTCAGAGAGCACCAAGGACCTCTCACATTCATGGATCTCAGCCTTCCTCAATCGGAGGTTAGGGCAACACCTTCTGGTCAGCAGGTTCTGTAGTTTAGTAGCTCCATCTCATCTGAAGGGCTGGAAGTTGGGAAAGGAGAAGATATTCTACACCGCTCAGGTGTCTTGTTATTTTAGAAAGTGCACTGAAAACTTCCTTCTGTGTGCAGAAGACCTGGACGTAGAGTAAAGTGGAGGGCATTCTCACTCCTCCTTCAGTGCCCAACCCCTGGTCCGTGCCATGCCAGCAATCCGGGCCACGCAAACAAGCGAAGCTCCATCCACAAGATGCAGGCAGCATGCAAAACCAAGTCCACTCCAGTCTACGGTAAAACCTCTCTCCATGAAATTGATCCCTGGTGCCCAAAAGGTTTTTTGGGGTGGAAGGGGAGGGGGAAGGGCTGATCTATGCCACAGTCTCCTGTTCCACATCTACAAGAGGCTGCTGGATGAGGTCATCTTACAGCATGGACTAAAGCCGGGGTGTCCAACCTTGGCAACTTCAATTGCCTGAATTCCCCAGGCAGCCATAGAATTCTGGGGGTTGAGGTCCACCAGTCATCAAGTTGCCAGGGTTGGAGACCCCCCCCCCCCCGGGATAAGGTAGGACAGCAATTGCACTTAGACTTAGATACCGCTTCACGGTGCTTTCCAGCCCCTCTCTCAGCGGTTCCTGATGACGATATCCAGCTTTATATGCCCACTATGGGCTGACTTGGTGGTGTGATGCGAAGGCTCTGGTTCAACTTGAGATGCTCGCCTTTTGTGTGGGAAAAGAACACTGTAAAAGATTAACTGTCAACTAGTGCAGGCGTCCCCAACCCCTCAAACCCCCCCCCCCCCCACCTTCCGTCCGTGGATCGGCATCGGTCAGCCGCGTGCCAGCAACCGGGCCACGCAAACAAGCGAAGCCCCATCCGTGGGATGCAAGGAGCACGTGAAACCATGCCCCCTCCGAGCCGCGGAGAAACCTCTCCCCACGGAATCGGTCCCCGGTGCTCAAAAGGTTGGCGGGGGGAGTTTCGCTGCGCCTGAAGGATCCTTTTTCTTCTCTCCTCGCAGGGAGTCGTCCCCCGTCGTCGTCGTCCCCCCCGGTTCTACTCCGGCCCTCATCAGCTGCCTACCTGCCACCTTCCGCGACGGCTCCCGCCGCTACGACGAGAAGAAAATCCCCGCGGCAGCCTCCTTTTCCGCCGTCTGATACGCTTCCACGTCTCCCGTCTCCACTTCCTCCTCGCCAGTCAGCAGCCGCTCCGGCCGGCCGCTTCTTTCCTGTTGGTGGTTTCCTTTCCGCCCTTCTTTTGACCCTCCATCCGGTTCCTCAACCGCCAACCAATGGCGAGGGCCGACATTCGGAAGGGCAGGGTTCGAGTGAGAGCGCGACTTCGGATTGGGCCAGGGGTTCGGCGAGGGTTCTCGGGGGCGTCGTGGGGTTGGGGGCTGTTATTGCGAGCGGGGAGTTAGATTGTTGAGGGAGGCGAAGCTAAGATGGCGGCGGAGACGGTGGAGCTGCACAAGTTGAAGGTATGGAGGCTGCCTTGGGCGGAGGAGCGCGTCTTTCGTTTGCTCCGGGGAAGCGGCGCTCGGCCTTCTCCTCCCTCTCGACCGTAGGAAGAAGCTGCTTTCCTGTTTGGGTGGGTGGGTTAGCGGGCGGGCTTCTTTGTCAACCTTTTCGAGAGCGCGGGAAAGAGATGATGGGATTCTCCTCACGCCGCACGTCTGGAGTCTTGTCTCCCAGCCCGGACCGAATTCTTCTTGGCCGGTGGCCTTTCCCTTCCAGCGTGGTTCTTCTCTTTCCTTTTCAGAGAACAGCGCCCCTGTATTCAACCTTTGCTTTCGGGAACTGTAAACCGCTTTGCAAGCGTGCTACGTGTTGCTTTTTGTCATCCTTTCCCCCCCTCTTTTTTGTGCGACTTTGCTCCAGGAGACATTGAACAAGTAACGCTTTTTGGGGTACAGTATGGGAAAATCGGGGGTTGCCTACTTGTCGGGCAGCTTGTTAAGCATGAAAATCATTAATGTATCGTTACCGTGATCTAATGCTTTTAAAATGATGGGTCCAACTTGAGGTTCTTCATTGAGTGTTAATGATTTTTGAAGAAATTCGTCAGTTTTCTTGGTTTCAGACTCCCACTGATGCTTTTCTTTCAAGGTCATGTTGATGTAAACATTGGAGAGTCCTCCTTAAACCACAGTGTCTACCTGCAGGAGTGTCAACTCTACAGGTAGACCAGATGAGGAAAACGGCTTCACAGGAAAATTAAAGCTATACTTTATTGAAATAGGCTATAGTAACAGAATATTGCCTGTTTCTCTGAAGGTCATGTCTTTCACTTGTTAAAAGGAGAATGATTCGGCTTCATTTTAAGAGCTTGGCTTTAATTTTTATATGTCTGTAGGAAATCACATGTTTGATTAAGGTTAAATCTTTTCTACTTTTAACAGCTTGCGGAGTTGAAACAAGAGTGTTTAGCCCGAGGATTGGAGGCAAAAGGAAACAAACAAGATCTCATCAATAGACTCCAGACATATCTAGAGCAGCATGGTAGGTTCCTTGCTATTCTTTGGTAAGATCTTCCTTGGCTGAAGTGTACAGTATGTTAATTTGTAGCATATGTAATCAGATATTCTGTAGAATAGGACAAGAAATGTTAATGTATTTACTTCTAGTGGAGGTATCACAGGCTTACATCCACTCTTAATTCTTTTTTTCCTAACTCCAGAATAGAAGTAATATAGTGTCATGAAGAAAGCCATGGTGAGAGGAAGATGATGGTGACAGCTGCATTCTTAAGAATTAAGCTCATTAGGGATTGCTTGCTAGTATGATTAGAGTCTATGACAAATGTTTATTTTTCAATAGGAAGAAATTTTTCTTTATAGCTTAATCTTGGGGTCTCCAGTCTAGTGCCTTTGACAGATCTCTTCATGTTTAGTTTACTTTACTTTATTGTCATTGCACCTCGTACAATGAAATTAAATACCATCTTCAGTGTATATTATGACTGAAAATAAACACAACCACACATCCTTCACATTCTATACATTGAATTGAAACCCCTAATATTGCATTAATATTGCACTATACAGTAGAATTCAATAGAGTTGCTGCCCTGGGATCGAAGCTGTTTTTCAGCCTATTTGTCCTTGTTTTTATTATCCTGTACCATCTGCCAGATGGTAATAGTTGAAAAAAAAGGCTGCCCAGGATGAGATGGATCTTTGAGAATGTTTTGAACTTTCTTAAGGCAGCGGGAACTATAAAGCTCTTCCAAAGAGGGGAGAGGTCAACCAATTATCTTCTGGGCAATGACAGCCCTCTGGAGCAGCGGTCGCCAACCTTTTGGACCTCAGGGATAACTAAACTCATAATTTTAAATCCCGCGGACCACAAATATGAATTTTGACTGACAGTGGCTAGCTGACATTTTCCCAGGGTCTCTGCAGAAAGCAGCAGAAACCCTGGGAAAATCCCCAAAAAAGTCTGCAGGAAAATTCTCCACCCTGTTTTCCTACTGATTGACCATTCTTTATTTGGGATCGTAGGATATCGTCTCCAGCTCCATTCTCAGGGGAAGGAGAACGGCTTCATGCAAGGAAAGCAGCAGAAGTCTTTCTTTCTGTCCCCAAACTCCGCCAGAAATGAGTCTTCACGAAACTTTTTGCTGCAGCGCAGCCTCTTGGAGCAGGATGCTTTGCAGGGTCCCAAAGACTCATTTCTGGTGGAGTTTGGGGGAGAGAAAGAAAGACTTTTGCTCCTTTCCTTGCGTGCAGCCAAAAGCAGAAGAAGAAAAAAGCGGAAAGAAGCAGCCCAGTGGCCAGGCAAGGCGTGTTGGGTGAGTGGGCAAGTTCCCCCCCCCCCCGCCCTTTCTCCCCTCACTACCTTGTGTTGTTTGCAATGCAAGCGACGCAAGCCTTGTGTTCTTGCAGGCCATGTGGGCGGTGCAGCCTTGTGTTCCTGTGCAGCCTGGATGAATTGCTTTGGGGTGACATTTCTCTGCAGACCACCAAAACTTTCTCGCGGACCACCAGTGATCCCCAGCCTTTGATTGGTGACCACTTCTCTGGAGTGCTGTCCTATCTGGCACTGTGCAATTGGCAAACCATACAGAGGTGTAGTAAGTTAAGATACTCTCTATGGTACAGCGGTAGAAGGTCACTAGCAGTTTTTCATTCAGTTGTTTTATGAGAAGTCTCAACAGAGATTATATTACCTGAGACTTCTCAGAAAACAATAACTGAATGAAAAACTGCCTTCTACCGCTGCACCATAGAGAGTATCTTAACTTACTGCACACTCTGATATCCTCAGAGTTCTATGTTCTACCTGATATTTTTACTAATGTCATTGACTGCACTATCATGGCAGCTTTTTATAATTTGGGTAGGTTTTCTAGCTGCTGTAGTGCCCAAGTATTGGTTTAATATTAATGTCTATGGAGATTCTCAGCCATCCATGTAATGGTTATCCCAAAGGTGCTTTTTCAAGTGGCAACTGGGCTTGTTTTTCTTTGAAGACATTTTGCTTCTCATCCAAGAGTTGTTGAGGCCACTTGGAGGCTTATCTGTGCTTCTCTGAAATTTATTTTAAAATCTGATTTGAAAGTAGGCTCAAAGAGACCATCCGTGTCAAAATTGAACAGCCCTCTCTCAACAGAGAGGGAGGGATACAACATCATCTATCTCCAGTCTATAACATAATCCTTTCAGCAGTTCCAAGAATGTTCCACACCCATTTGCACTATTCAGGTGACCCTGGCAAAGATAAACTTCCAAGTAGCATCAACTACTCTAAAGAATGCAAACGAACAGCTGTCTGCAAGGAATATAAATCCTTCCATTCTAAATTTGACCTTTAAGAATTGGAAACTAAAGGTGAAGTGAAGAAAAATAAATGAACATTTATCCAGGAAAGATAAATGTGATTTTTTGTGTTTGTGTATGTATGTGTAGGGCAGATAATTTTTGAATTTTTCAAAAGAGAACTGAGCGAGTTAATGTGTATTCTAGTTATTGGCAAAAAAAAAAAAAAAAAAAGGCTAGATTCAGGTATCTGCCCATGGAAAATTTATCTGTGTAATATGAATTCTTAATTGTGGGTAATGGGTAGACGGATCTAGGAAATTACAGCCTGGATAGTTTAACAACTGGTCTAAGAAAATTGATCAAACAAAATTGTCAAGCATATTTAATAATACATGTTCTTGAAGAAAGAAGCAATATGATTGCTGCATGAAAAAAATGGCTTAATTCAAAAGATATGGTGGGCTGACTCTGAATGTGTCATTTAATTGAAACAGCATGTAGATTAATATAAAATCTATATTAATTTAAAATTCTTTATTTTGCAAACGGTATGTATTTTTAAGTAGCATTAATGCAATTCAAAATCATACTACATTTTTCCATTCAGCCAGAACACAGATCAGTAAACCTTTGCAGGTCTGTAAAGCAAAGCAAAGCTGAAGTAAGATCACAAGAACAGTTACTGTTTCTGTTAGTAACTATTTCACTGAACAACTGAGTTGCCAGTCCCAATTAAAGTCACTAAACAAGGATTACCTGTATCTTTGTTATTACAGATTTATACAACAATAATACTTTATTGACTAGCCATTAGGTCATATTAGAATACAAAATATAAAACACAGATCAGTAATAAGACCATATGTTAGAAAATAGAGTAAAAGACATAAGTAAAAGAAAATGCAAATCATTCCTGTGTCATCCCCCTAATCTCAGAATAGTTAAAATAAACATGGAGGATATACTCATAATAATATATATACATATATACTCATAATAGTTGTTGAAGAACAAGTTTCCCCATCTTATCACATTGCAACATCATAAAATTAAGGTTTTTGAAAAAATATAGCAAATTCTTCAACTGGACAAATCTGAATGCTGAGATTAATCTTGGGGCGACATAAATGTGACTCCAATGTGGCTGCTATCTATTCTCATTGAATTTATAGAATTTATTATCTTTTTTTGGTTGTAAACTAGACTCTAACCTCAAAGGAGATATCTAATATTGGATTGATCTTTAGAGGAGAAATCATGGAGGAGCTGAATTTTGATTTTGCCAAGCTGACAAAAAATTCTGGCCAACTCTGGCATTGATTTGTCTCCATTGAAATGTTGCCAAATAAAACAAATATCCCTCCTTTTATGGTCTCCAATGCTGGCATCTGAGATTTAGGAATAATTGTATTTTCTTATAATTTGCATAAAATGTAATTGAATCATTTGTGTTCTAAAAGTAAGCATTAGTAAAACGACTGAATGAAGAACATGCTAGCTAAAAAAAAACCTTCTATACATTTATTTGTATATTTTAAACAATATACCAAATATGTTTCTGCTGTTATAGATGGGTTGCAAAATAGGTTTAGGTCATGTATAATGGGACTTTTTGATCTAATATATCTAGATTCATATATGACACCAAGGTATAACTTAATATGATTTGGCCTAGTTCCCTTCCTCACAGTAGAAGCCACAGAATATCTAAGCATCAAACCAGTTTTGGCTTGTTCAAACTAAAATTGAAAACTAATCAAATAGACTTGCTCTTAACTAAATAATATAGGAGTGTGGTGGCTCACGTGGTTGGGACGCAGGGCTGACAATTGGCAGGCTCGTGTTCAAGACCTTGTTGCTGCCCCGTGATAGGGTGAGCTCCTGTCACTCGCTCCTGTGGGGAACTGCAAATAGATAGATGGGTACTACATCAATGGGCAACTTAACAGGGACATGAAAGGAGCCCCCAAACCAAGCATCTCTTGGGCAATGGTGATGTTGCTGGCTAGTCCTTTCAACCCAGAAGCGCCTTGGTACTTCCGACATGAGAGTGAGCGAGCTAAATTATAGATTACCTTCCCAGATATAAAGAAAATATGCCCTTGAATTCAAGAAGACTATGGATACAATTGTATTGGTTTTTTTGCAACATTGTCATTTGCTGCTGCATTGTTCTGAAATGTTTTTGACTTCCCAATGTAGCCTACAGCCTCAATATTCCCTTTGGTACTGCAGTTTTCATCCAAGCACTATTTAGCTTCCAGGTCAATCAGATAGGAAAATCATTTATGCACAGATAATTGACATTAAAAAAGCAGATCTTGCATCTATGGGAAAAACTCTAGGATGATGATGATGAATTGACATTAAAAAGATGACTTCTAGCTTTTATTATTTATTTATAACTGCTTTCATTTTAAACTTTCATTTTTAAAAATGTCAAAGCTACTCCATTGCTTAATACATGTAAGAAAATGTAGAAGTAACATGTTGTACAATCAACACAATAAATCAGCTATCAGTGCAATTGTTGACATGTTAGATGGGAATTGAAAAGGGAGTATTGGCCAAAATACTTTTATTTAATGATAGAAGCCCTAAACTGTACAGGCCTTCTTATGTGTACAGTGTATAAATTAGTATTACAGTTCAATTTACTATTTCTACTTTGAGATGTTTTGGATAACTCTAAAAAGACAAATATGTTAAAACTGAAAAAAAATATTTTAAGTAGAGACAGAATAGTATTTAAACATCTAGGGCAGACCACGGACTGGTACTGGTCTGTGATCTATTAGGAACCGGACTGTGCAAGTGACAGGTAAGCAAGTGATGTTCCATCTGCACATGCACAGGATTTAGATTGCACATGAAATCATTCCCCCTTCCCCTGCCCCAGGTCCGTAGAAAAATTGTGTTCCATAAAACCAGTCCCTCATGCTAGAAAGGTTACGGGCAACAGATCTAGGTTTCAATATGTCTTTGATTTATAATAAAAATATTTTAATTAATAACTTCATTTTCCCCTGAATTATTTAGCCGAGGAAGAGGCAAATGAAGAAGACGTTTTGGGAGAAGAAACAGAGGTAAATCTATGTCATACTATCATAGCATCAGTTCTTTAATCATATAACAGTGAATTGATTTGTGTAGGAATATGCTGTAAATGCTATATAATTTGTGTTAGCAGAATTCCTGTTCAACAAGAATTTTTAATTTTGTTTCATTAAGGAGATCAATTTGCCTTCCATTTCTTTCATACCTGAAAAGCTTGATTAAGTGTTCTTCATATTATCTTTGAGTGAAGTAAACTTAGCCTTCAAATAACTTAGAAATATTTTTATAACAAGTATTTAGAGGTTCATTGTAAACCTCTGTGTTGTTTCCAGTACTAGTTTTAGATTAGTATCAATTACTTTGTTTTAAAAATGTCTATGATACTGTCCAATAACAGTTTGGAAACATACTATCTATTGGATCTGCTGAGCCCTCGACATTGATTTTGAAAATTTGAATAATATTCCAGATTCCTCTTGGTCATTTGGGTCTGAAAAGGTCAATTTTCATGTTTGTTGCCATGTATTTTGAGAATCGGGAAAGTCTGCAGAGCAGTCTGGCTACCAGCAGGATAGTATCCTCCCCTCAGTGTGACTGCAGGGTGTCATATCAAACTAGATTGTGCCCAGCTGTAATTGGAGGGCATATACCAGTCCAGATTCTGTGCTTCAGTGGTTAGATGGCCTAGAGTAGACATTGGTATTCGAACAAAGGTCATTTTAACTTTTATATTTGATTGTATTTACTAATTTAGGTGAAATATTAATGTATATTGCTAGGCCGTGTATGATATGTCATACACTAAATAATAATAATATTTTTAAATGATGCAATTTTATCAATGTTTTGTTATTTTTATAAATGTGTTAGGAATCATAACAAAATGACAAAGCATTATAATTCATGTACCCTAGCCATTTTAGTCTATATAGACCATTCTAGTCTATATGGATTATAATAGGAAAAAAATCTATTTCTGATAATCAGAACAGTACTGTTTATATTGTCATGTTTAGTGTATCTGATTATTTTTCAGTACAATAAAAGATTCCTTTGTGCTCAGAAACAGAATAGTTTATGTACAGGTGAAACTCAAAAAATTAGACTATCGTGCAAAAGTTCATTTATTTCAGTAATGCAACTTAAAAGGTGAAACTAATATATGAGATAGACTCATTACATGCAAAGCAAGATAGTTCAAGCCGTGATTTGTCGTAATTGTGATGATTATGGCTTACAGTTCATGAAAAACCCAAATCCACAATCTCAGAAAATTAGAATATTACATGCAATCAATAAAACAAGGATTGTACATAGAACAATATCGGACCTCTGAAAATTATAAGCATGCATATGTACTCAGTACTTGGTTTGGGCCCCTTTTGCAGCAATTACTGCCTCAATGTGGCATGGTATGGAAGCTATCAGCCTGTGGCACTGCCAGGATGTTTCAATAGCGGCCTTCAGCTCTTCTGCATTGTTCGGTCTCATGTCTCTCACCTTTCTCTTGGCAATGCCCCATAGATTCTCTATGGGGTTCAGGTCAGGCGAGTTTGCTGGCCAATCAAGCACAGTAATCCCATGGTCATTGAACCAGGTTTTGGTGCTTTTGGCAGTGTGGGCAGGTGCCAAGTCCTGCATCCCCATAAAGCTCGTCTGTGGAAGGTAGCATGAAGTGCTCCAAAATCTCCTGGTAGACAGCTGCGTTGACCCTGGACTTAATGAAGCACAGTGGACCAACACCAGCAGATGACATGCCTCCCCAAATCAACACAGACTGTGGAAACTTCACACTGGACTTCAAGCATCTTGCAGTGTGTGCCTCTCTATTCTTCCTCCAGACTCTGGGTCCTTGGTTTCCAAATGAGATGCAAAAGTTGCTCTCATCAGAAAAGAGGACTTTGGACCACTGAGCAACAGACCAGTTCTTTTTTTCTTTAGCCCAGGTAAGATGCTTCTGACGTTGTTTGTTGTTCAGGAGTGGCTTGACAAGAGGAATACGACATTTGAAGCCCATGTCCAGGATCCGTCTGTGTGTGGTGGTTCTTGATGCACTGACTCCAGCCTCAGTCCACTCCTTGTGAAAGTCCCCAACACTTTTGAATGGCCTTTTTCTGACAATCCTTTCTAGGCTGCAGTCATCCCTGCTGCTTGTGCACCTTTTTCTTCCACATTTTCCCCTTCCACATTACTTTATATTAATGTGCTTTGATACAGCACTTTAGGAACATCCAACTTCTTTTGCAATTACCTTTTGAGGCTTTCCCTCCTTATGGAAGGTATCAGTGATGGTTTTCTGCACAACTGTCAGGTCAGCAGTCTTTCCCATGATTGTGATTCCTACTGAACCAGACTGAGAGACCATTTAAAGGCTCAGGGACCCTTTGCAGGTGTCATGGCTTAATTAGCTGATTAAAGTGGGATACTTTAAGCCTAGAATATTGAATCTTTTCACAATATTCTAATTTTCTGAGATTGTGGATTTGGGGTTTTCATGAGCTGTAAGCCATGATCATCTCAATTATGACAAATCAGGGCTTGAACTATCTTGCTTGGCATGTAATGAGTCTATGTCATATATTAGTTTCACCTTTTAAGTTGCATTACTGAAATAAATGAACTTTTGCACGATATTCTAATTTTTCGAGTTTCACTTGTATCTTCAATTACTATAATGGGGAAAATATGTTTTTTTTCTTCTTCAAATATTTGAAAACACAGTTTAAGCTGTTTCCAGTCTGCTTTGAAAATTGATTTAGGTGCAGCTATTAACTTGCAATTTCCATATTACTAGCTTAAATAAGTTTTGATTTTATGTAAAATCTTTGTGACAACTATTAGAAAGGGCTCTAAAAGTATTGAGGAATAATGATCAGTTAAAATGGAAGTAACATTTTTTATTTATAAATATTATAGATCTTTGTTATAGGTAAGATTCCTAGATTACTTATTTTGCTTGTGCAAAATATAGAAATTTACTTTTTGTTATATATAACCAGACATTTTTTAAAAATCAACTTAAAGTAATCCATAAAAGTATATGTTTTTAGGGTCTCATTTTCCAAAGTCAGCATCAATCAAAAAACTCTTAGGAAAGAATAAAAGGGAGAAAACATTTTATAAAAGGGCTGATTGAACAGAATTGGATCAAACCATCTATCCTCTGCTACTTTTTTTTCTATGGCTGGCATAGAAATCAAATGTTGCAATGATTTTTTTTAATAAGCTGGCACATTGCCTGAATTAAATTCTTAAATACCTTTTACTAGCAAGAAATCTGCTAAAGATATAAGAGCATAATTTTTCCAAAAATATCAAAAAGTTATAGAAGTCAAACTTCGTAAATTCACATAAAAGTAGTTATATTGGGGCATGAGTGGAAAAATTAACACTATTGAACTGTAATTTTATATGGTCATCCCAAGTTTTTTAAAATAATCAGATAACTTCTGGCCTTTATGCTTTATTAGAGCTGTGGTGGCACAGTGATTAGAATGTAGTATTGCAGGCTAACTCTGCTCATTACCAGGAGTTACTAGCTCAAGTCTTCTATCCTTCCAAGGTCAGTAAAATGAGGACCTAGATTGTTGAGGGCAATATGCTGATATCATAAACCATCCAGAGAGTGCTGTAAAGCACTGTGAAACAGTGCATTCAGAAAGTATTCTGACCCCTTCACTTTTGTCAATTTTGTTATGCTGCAGTCTGATTTTACAGTTGGTGAAATTCATTTTTTTTCTGATTAATCTATACTCAGTATGCCATAATGACAAAGTGAAAACAGAAGTCTAGAAATGTCTGTAAATGTATTAAAAAGAAAAACTGAAATATCACATTGGCATAAGTATTTAGACCCATTTGAAATTTAGCTCCAGTGCCTCCCATTTCTTTTGATTGTTGCTGACATGTTTTCTACATCTTCATTGGAGTCCACCTGTGGTAAATTAAATTGATTGGACATGATTTGAAAAGGCATACACTGCTCTATAGAAGGCCTCACAGTTGGCAATGCATACTGTAGCAGAGCTAAAGACATGGGCTCAAAGGAACTGCCTGCAGAGCTCAGAGACAGGATTATTTCAAGGCTGCAATAAAATTTCTGTTGCACTGGAGTTCCTAAGAGCACAGTGGCCTCTATCATTCTCAAATGGAAGAAATTTGGCACAACCAGGACTCTTCCAAGAGCTGGTCGCTCAATCAAACTGAGCAATTGGGGGAGAAGGGCCTTAATAAGAGAGGTGACTAAGACTCCAGTGGTCACTGACTGAGATCCAAAGTGTTCCAGAAAAACAGCCATCACTGCAGTCCTCCACTGGTCTGCACTTTATGGCAGAGTGGCTAGATGAAAGCAAAACACATGAAAGCCTGTTTGGAGTTTACAGAAAAGCACCTGAAGGACTCTCGGACTGTGAGGAACAAGATTCTTTGGTCTGATGAAACCAAGATTGAGCTGTAGGGACTCAATTCTAAACATTATGTCTGGAGGAAACCAGGCACCACATATCTCCTGCCCAATACCATCCCAACAGTGAAGCGTGGTGGCAGAATCATGCTTGGGGGATGTTTTTCAGCAGCAGGGACTGGGAGACTGGTCAGGGTTGAGGGAAAGCTGAATGGTACAAAAGCAAAGTACAAAGATATCCAGCGCTCAGGACCTCAGGCTAAGCTGAAGGATCATTTTCCAACATGACACCGATCCTAAGCACACAGCCAAGACAACACAGGAGTGGCTTAGGGACAACTCTGTGAATGTCCTTGAGTGGTCCAACCAGAGCCCTGACTTGAATCTTATTGAACATCTCTGGAGGGACCAGAAAATGTTGTTCACTGACAGTCACCATCCAACCTGACTGAGCTCGAGAGGAGTTACAAGGAAGAATGGCAGAAAATCCCCCAATCCAAATGTGCAAAGCTTGTCGCGTCATACCCAAAAAGACTTGAAGCTGTAATTGCTTCCAAAGGTGCTTCAACAAAGTACTGAGTGAAGGGTCTGAATACTTATGCCAATGTGATATTTCAGTTTTTTCTTTTTAATAAATTTATAGAAAAAAATTCTAAAATTCTGTTTTCACTTTGTCATTATGGCGTATTGAGTGTAGATAAATGAGGAAAAAATTAATTTCAAGAACTGTAGAATCAAGCTGCAGCATAGCAAAATTGACAAGTGAAGGGGGACTGAATGCTTTCTGAATGCACTGTAAGTCTAAATGCTATTGCTAGGGCTATTGCATTTTTTCTTGATGACAGAGTTATTTTTGCTTTGAATGTGACTTGAAAAGCACCAAATTTGGCTCTTCAGTTCAATGAAGAAAATAGTAATAGTATTGTGATTCTATAGCATGAATATTCTTACATATTTCTTCAAATTATCCCCAGCTTTTCATTGCTGGTTTGTTCTCTCTTATGTTTTCCTACAAGGAAACTATATATTTTACCTCAAGTTGGAAGCCATTCTGAGTCTTAAATGCAGGAATTATATTTCCAGAAATGGATAATACAAATGTATTTATCTTCCTTAAAATCTTTCAGAAGAACATTGGTGCAGCTGAATGTCACTCTAGTTAAGAATAATTTTTAGGGCCCTGTCTGCACTCCACTCTCAAATGCTATCCAATAGACGGAATTACAATACAGATTAAATACTGGGCATGGTGCCCCTCCCCCCCCCAAAAAAATCTGTTAAATATTTCCAACCTCAAACTTGCAGGCTTGTCTTTTGACCAGTTGTGGTTGTAGATCATTTCATAGGTGAAATTCTATGAATGTTTACTTTCACTCATAATTTCCTCATTAATGTTTACTTCAGTAAGGCCTATATGTAAGATTGGGCTGGAACTGTTTGTGCAGCCTATATATTCTGCTTTGTACATTCGCTCTCTAACTTTTAATATTTACATTGCAGGAAGAAGAACAGAAGCCTTTAGACAATCCTATTAAAGAGGAAATGACTACAGAGACCTCTCCTGAAATGTAATTTTACTTCAGAATATATATATATTGGCCAAGTATTACTCATTTATGTACATTTTCAGAATTTATTTGCAATTTGTTTATTGCAACTCTCAATAAGCAAGTGGATTATTAATCTGGATTAGGAAGGATTAGTAATGGATTACATTTGAAATAGTGTGACATTTTGGAAATCTCAAGTGTGAGTACAAAGAAGCTAAATATAGTTGACCTGAATAAAAAGCCAAATTTAATGAATCTTATTTAAAATAAGTATAGTCCAGAATTCTGTAATTTAACATCCAGTCCTCATGACTCTTTTGTACTTAAAACAGATTTACCTAATCTCTAAGTTTGTAACACTGCATGTATTTTACCTTTGATTTTTAAAGAAATTAACATTCTTTTCCAGAGCATTTGGAATTGTGTTCTAGATAAAGGTCATTTATATCAAGTATATAACCAAAGCTGTTACAGTCCATTCTCCTCCCTTGAATGACATTGCCTTATTTTTCTGCATATACACTAAGTTTCCCTTTAGATAAAGAATTTAAAATTTAGTTCTACTAAGACAAAACAAAATTTCAAATTTAGTTCTATCAAAACAAAGCTATTAGAAGTTACCCCTGTATTAACAAAGACAAAGCAAAGATACACAGTTTAGCTTGCAGTGCCCATTCTCATTGCACATCAAGGAACAGGCAAGTTGTAAAAGCAAATAGGGCCACCTGTGTCAACGACATGCTTTAAAAGCTAAAAGAGAGAGAACCAAATTGCCCATTTGGCCTTACTGCCATTCGTCAGCTGAACATTTGAAGTAAAACACAGGGTACTCCTGTGGCCCAGTCAAGCAAGCAGGCATTCAAATTGTGCTAAAAGAGGTCAAGGAGGGTGAACTTGTAGCTCGTCATGAAATTATCATGTATGACACATACTGAAAATTATGTTTAAGGTAGATAAACAATAGGCTTGCTTGTGATTTTGTCATTTACTTGCTTTCCAAGCTTAGATTTTGACAGATAAAAATATTCTTGTAGAATAGTTTGGGTTATCTTAGAAGTTAAATTTTAATCCAGTTGTTTATGGGGCGATTTTGTACTACTCTTCAGACTAAAAGACTTTCAGATACATTAGGGGGAAAAGATTTTTTAAATGCATTAAGAATACTAACTAAAACACAAATATGTAACACAAAAGTGATATGTTACAACACTAAAATAAGTATTTTAGTCTATTACACTTTCACCATTTTTAGGTAAACAAGCTTCATATATATTGAAAGAATCTGCCTGTGTGTTTTACTTAAAAGCAAGGTAATAGTATATTTCCTTTTAAATTGTTAAATTTATATAGCTACCTATCTCACTTCCATGACTATTGGCATTTTACAAAATTAGCAAAACAGGATTTAGACAGTCAAAAATCTAATTCCTTTCCAAATATAAATTTGGTAGTCTAGAATCCTACATGGATTTGCTCTTAGCTGTAATATAGCTGCATTTATAGTGCAATGCAATCAAATGCTGCAGTGAAACTGCCATATTCATTTTCTGTAACAGCATTAGATCTGTTATTTCTTGGTGACTGTGATTAAACCATTGTTTGTTCAAAAAAAATGGTTCTAAAACAAAATATGTTTGATTAAATCATAGCTAAACACTTAGTACAGTATCAGCTTCTTGACAGCAGGGGGTGCCATTTCTCTATATCTATTGCAGGTTGCAAACAGTGCTTTCAGGGACAACAAATCCCTGGTTCCTGTTTTGAATTGCTTCCTGTGAAAAAGTCATTAAACCATTACTACCCTTCAGGGCATAAAATAGAAAAACTGTCCAGGAATCTTGAACAAAAGCCATCCATTTATCTAAATGGGAGACCTTAATGAGTCAGGTTATGACCCACTGTTTTATGGGAGCTGTTTGGAGGAGGAGGATGCCGTTTCATTTAGCCTGGGAACTTCCGAACTTTGTGTCTTCCACTTTTGTTTTTTCTTCCAAATCTCAACCTTGTTTTTAGAGCATAAACTTCCAAGCACACCTACTCCGTTATATTTTTGTTCAAGCGGTTAACTAGCTTCCATTGAACATTGTTAAAGAAGTGTATATTTGATATGGAGATAGGCCAAGCTAAAAGTCAGCCATAGCTATTTCATGAACTATAACTCGTTTGTTAATATAGAGTCATAAAAGGATAAAATTCTCAGGGGATGTAACATAGGTATTAGCTCTCTGGCTTGGATTGACTCCTTAGCATAAGTGATCTTTTCCCTTGTTTTGTTTTTGTGTATGAGTGATTATATGCTAAATGAAATCTCATTTATCTTCATATAGAAGGCATTCAAATATTTTAATATTCAGAAGTTCAAATGACAGTCCAGTTTACATTGACTTGTAGGAGAGAGAGAGTGTGAATTTAAATAGCTGTGGTTCAGGCAGATGGATTCTCTTATGTCTTTTGTCAGCTGTCTTCTTCACCAGTATGCTGTTTTCCTCCCATGCTTTTGAGTTAAATAACATCTGTTTTCCTCAGAGTTGAAAATAATTTTATTCCTTTCAGTGTGGTCAGATAGCAGAACTAAATTAACTAACATACAAAAGCTATCACCATATAATTAAATGAACAGTTACAATCAAGCCTCACATTCTTTGCTCGTACACTTTGTTAAAGGAAACCTGGAATTCATGTGTTAAGTCAAAGCTTGCTTTTGTTAAAATAATATAGCTGTCTTCAAATTACTTTTTGTGCTAAGTTGCTTTTATTCCCAAGACTCTTGTTGCCTTATAGAGTATGTTATTTCTCATGTCCATATCATTCTTTCATCTATCTCTTGGTTAGACATGAAAACTAAGAAAAATTAATTTAGCATAAAGTCTAATTTTAATAACCTTTTTGAATTAGCATAAGGTTGCCTTCAAAATATGTTTCTACATATATTTTACCCATTTTACTAAATCTTTATCATCCTATGCACAGTGGTTAGAGTGCAGTACTGCAAGCTGCTTTTGCTGCCTGCCAGCTGCTTGCATTTTGACAGTTCAAATCTCACCAGGCTCAAGGCTGACTCTTCCTTCCAAGGTGGGTAAAATGAGAAGCCAGAATTGTTGGGGGCAATATGCTGACTCTAAACCGCTTAGAGAGGGCTGTAAAGCACTATAAATCGGTATATAAGTCTAAGTACTATTGCTATTATAGTAATATTCTAATTTGTAAAGCATAACATGATTGAGGTTGATATTTTTAGAAATGATCCTCAAGTAAGGTTTAGGGAACAATTGTTCCAAGACAGAGTTTGAAGGGTTCTGGGGTTTTGCAGAGTAAATTGTTTATAGATAGAAATTTCTTTGAATGTTGTGTACTTACTCAAGATTTATAGGGAAACCTAGTAATGCTTTTGCAGGAATATAACCACACAGAAGAGGCAACATGTAGAATCATTAAGTCTATAAGTGATGCTTTTAAGTAAATAGAATTCAGGCAAATAAGGACATTAAATGGAGTCCCTATGCTAGTTGATAAAAAAAACTGTTGTGTAATAGATATACATCCAGCACCATGGATAGCACCAAGTGAAATTTATAATCTGAAATTCTCCCTTGCTCCAACAATGAGGATGTTGTCTCAGCAACAAGCTAAAGGTAGCCCAATCTATAATGTGGACAGTTCTTCATTCTCTGGAGAAGCCCAATTAAAAGATCTTCGGCTGTTACTGTAGTTGTAGAATTAAACATTATTTGAGGGTTTATTCTCTGGATTCAGATACTGGTGGCAGGACAGCTTCTCTGACTGGAAGAGACTTCATTTAAGATTGTCTTTCCTCTGAGAGTACAATTTCATCATTAGATTTTTCTGCAACATCTTGAAAGGGATGTTTGATGAGCATGATAATGATACAACAGTGCTGCTTTTATAATTGTGGAGTCAAAAAACGGACTATTTTCAAAATATCTATGGTAATTCATAGATCCATATATTCTTATTTCTCAATGTACCAAAGCAAGGACTGGGAATTGTACCAGCTCTAAAATTAGTGGGGGGAGGGGTTCATTTTATTATCAGAGAAAAATTAGGATAAATAGTTGCAGGAAGGTAAGATTACCAACAAAATATCTTTGGTGACAGCTGATTATACTTAATTAGGCTTCAAAAGCTCATGATATATTTGTAACGCCTATAGTAACCTTTCTCAACTTGATATGGTTGAGAATCTTTGGACTTGCAGTTCTTATGTATCTTGCTTGCATCGTGTTGGTGAAGTTTTAGCTATGAGAAACACACTCGCATAGTAATAGTACTTATATACCACTCCACAGTGCTTTACAGCCCTCTCTGAGTGGTTTACAGAGTCAGCATATTGCCCACAACAATCTGGGTCCTCATTTTATCAACCTTGGAAGGGTGGAAGGCTGGGTCAGCCTTGAGCCAGTCAGAATCAAACTCCTGATGTGTGGACAGTTACCCTGCCATATTGCATTCTAACTACCACACCACAATGCCACATAGCTTGAAGTATGAGCATATTGTGTTCCATAATAGCTGCAAGCAGGAAATAGCCCTGACTTAGTAACAGAACAAACATGGGATTTTAAACATTCTAAAGTAAGGGCCTTTCAGTGTCCATGGCTTGCATTGCATCTCAAACCAGTAAGCCCCAATTATTCAGTAATATATTTTTATGTCCACCAAACTGGATTTACTTTGTTTATGAAAGGCAATATCTTGTGTTCTGATCAATCTTTTTTGCTTTTATTTAGAAGTGCAGAAAAAAAAGTGGTGAAAATTACCTCAGAAATTCCTCAAATGGAGGTAAGTTGCCTTCTTGCGGTTTACAGATACAGCATCCAAATATGGGAAATGTTTTCTGCCCAAACCATAATTTTGTCAATCAGCAGGGGTTTAGCTAATATTTTAGAATGTAACAGACTTATGATTTTTAATTTTCTAGCATGTTGCTTATCTTGTATCAGGTTTCCCTGAAAATATGACCTGTCCCGAAAGTAAGTCCTAGCTTGATTTTTTTACATGTGCGCCCAATATAAGTCCTATCCCCAAAATAAGACCTTGCCCATGTGCATGGGGTGGGATGAAGCACATGGGTAAAAATTAAGCTAAGGGGGAATGGGGGTGTGGAGTTGCCCTACTTCCCAGGCCTTGCACATCCCAACATCTTGCCTTGCAGACCCACTTCTGCAGATGCTTGCCACCACTCGCATGCGTCATCCCTGGGCTCCGTTTCACCGTCAGATTGATCCAGAGCTCTGTTATCGGCTGCAGAGGCCTTTCTTTAAGGCCTCTGACGATGAAACAGAGGTGAGAGAGACACGTGCGAGCGGCTTCAGAAGAAGTGGGCCGGCAGGGGGCTCCTGCTAGGTGGGGCTGTCAGTAATGCCGCTGTGAGATGAGTTAGTAATTAGACATCCCGGCAAATAAGACCTGGTGCCTTTTTTGCTGGTTAAAAGAAAATACAAGACCAGGTCTTATTTTTTGGAAAACACAGTGATATTAAGTTGAGAATAGTTCACATATTGGCTTCCAGTATGAATCATAACTGACTGAAGATGTCTCCACCAATGAAAAGGAAATGAAGACTGCTGTGAAGAATAAAAGACCTTTGGGTAGACTAGTCCTTCAAATCTCTCTTGAGAAGGAGAGATTGAAAGATTGCCCATTGGTTCTCTAATTGGTAGCTCCACACAAAGACACCCTAAAACAATGGTCTCCTGTGGGCTTAAGTGCCAAAAGCTAGGAGAGATGACCTCTGCTATCAGCAGTGGCAGGGCCTTTCATAAGGACATTAAGCAAACTTAACTCACTTTCTAATCACATTTGGAAATGTTCAGTTTAACCATTTATGGATATTGGAGAGCTTCAAAATGGCAACTTAATTTGAGGCCTGGCAACTTTTAAATGGAGACTTGGTAAATTGACAGAAAGCAAAAAAATAGGGGTGGGGTGATTTAAGAAAGTTTTAAATGGATTAGGAGACCAGAGAAATTTAGTATAATGTATGCATATAAAATGACTGAAATGAGTCTAGTTAGGAACCAAGGCTTGATGAAGTTTACAAATGGATACAAAAGGGATCTAAAGCAAGGGTGTCTTCAAACTTGGCAAGTTTAAGACTTGTGGACTTCAACTCCCAGAAATCCTGAGCTAACATGACCAGCGGAGGAATTCTGGGAGTTGAAGACCATAAGTCTTAAAGTTGTCAAGTTTGAAGACCCCTACCTAAAGGTTTGGGCAGAAAAAAATTAAAATGGCTAAGCTGACTATAAGATTTCTGTATTTTAAGAGGTTTTTTTAAACATCTACTGAAATATTAATAACCAATATCTCAGAAAGAATATATATTTCAATGAATTAGCTTTCAGAAGATGAGGAGAAAAACTTTTACTGACACAGACATTGTAGAGTTTCAAGGCATGGAAGATTAAACATTGACATTACCAAAGTGGGAATACAAAAGACAAATCAAGGAAAAGGATCTGGACATGGAACAGCTTTGACAAGAAATCCCAGACTGTTTTTTTATGGGGTTTGCCAAGTAAGCTGGTAAAAGCTTTGAGAATTCTTAAATGTCAAAGTGATGAAAGATAAAATCCTGTGATGCCACAATAATGATTTAAAAGTCAAGATTGTGCAGAGCAAAAAGAAGGAATATAAAGTTGAACTACTTGTGCAGGGATAAATTATTTGTTTGATATTTCTTATAACTCCTAATGGCCTTTAGTGGACTGGGATTGAAAATTGATTTTGGGGTTGTATATAAGGTAGGCTATGGAGAGAAGTGTTTATTTGAAACTTTAAAAGAGGGTGAATATGCGAGATAAAGAATCACCATACAACTCACATAACAAGAAACAATGGCTTTCTATTTTGTTTGAATGAGCTTTGTTGTTCTAACATTCTTTTCTGTTTGATTCTGTGCAATCACATTCTTGTTAATTCTTATGTAAACAATCTCACTTTTAATTTTAAAAGAATACATACATTTTCTTTTAAAAGTGCTCTGTGCCTGATTTCAAATAGTCTCTATGCTGATTAAGCTACAGCTTGCTTTGTGTAGGTAGGACAGAAAGAACATTAGTCATTTTCTAGTCATGCTAAGGCTGCTTTTGTGTCTTTTTATCATCCTTTTGTGATTGGGGTGTACAATATAGTATGCTGCATGCATAGCATTGAAACTTTGATCCAAGAATGAAGTACTCCTGTGTTAGTTTGTTGAAAGAAAATGTTCCTGTTTTTCATAGTAATTGATATGCTGTTGCAGATATTTTGTATTATAAAAAGTTGAGTCTTCAAAAGTATTGTTGAAGAGAGTGAAACAAGTGCTAGTATAGTGCTTTGAGGGCAATAATTAACTGCCCATACTGATTGATTTTGCTTGTGCAGCAAGTTCTCCTACCTTGATTATGTGGTATATTTAAACAAACAAAAAGTTTTTCTGACTGTTAATTTTTATTTGTTTATTAGTTTTGTATCTCTTCTTTCCCTCAGAAACTCAAGGCAGGGAGTATAGCAGTGAGGGAGGAAACTGTGGTGAACGCTTCTTTATGTAAGGAGGAGATGCTGCAGTCTTTGAAAAAGGTACTGCTGCACTCCTTACTTTAAGCAATCAGTCCTGCGTTCTGTCATTTTAAACCATTTCCAACTTACCCCTTTTGGGGTAGAAGTTGATGGGATATCACCTATAAAAGTCTTTGGAAGACATAGATTTTCACCTTTTCCGCCCAAGGTGCTGCTTGTTAAATCATCTGTTGCAATGGGGTGAGGTACCATCGGTATGCAGATGATACCCAGATGTAGATCTCCATTTCAGGTGAAGTAAGCAATGCTATGGACGTCCTTTCTCAGTGCTTGGAGGCTGTGGAGGCCTGGATGGGGGACAACAGGTTTCAATTTAATCCTGGTAAGACAGAGTAGCTATGGGTAGGTGGATCCTCTGCAGTTTGGGGTTTACCATCTTTGGTCTTTGATGTGGTAATATTGACCCATAATCTGGGGGAGTCCTGGATCCACAACTTCTGCTTAAGGAGCAGGTGGCAATTGTGGCTAAGAGAGCCTTTGCTAAACTTTGGCTTGTGTACCAGTTACTTCCCTTTCTGGATTGATAAGCTCTCCTTTCAGTCAGAATTATATTTTGAAAGGGCAAGCCTCACCCATCCTGGCAAAACTTCCAATTTGCTTCTTGCCTTTTATCCACTAGTGTTGTCTTTCTTGCTGTAAACATGTAGGAGATGAATTGGACCAAGCCTGGAATTTTCTGCAGTCATTCACAACTTAATTACTTTTAGCATCTAAACCCAGATAGGTGTGGTGGTACCATAGTTGAATAAAATTCATCCTTTCAGATATATATATATATAGTACATCCTCTATTACTGCTTCTAATACATCTTGTTTTCCAAAATTAAGAATAGCCAAGACAGCACTAGTAATGAAAGTTTGAAATGTTAAAAAAAATGCACTAAATAAGCAACAAAATTAAATGCATTTCTGTGTTGGCTATGTTAGATGGTTGTATTTTATTTTTAATCTTAGAGAATGCAGAAGCGGGCAGAGAGATTCAATGTTCCTGTGAGCTTGGAAAGTAAGAAAGCTGCACGAGCAGCTCGGTAAGTGTATTTCATTATTATTGTTCTCTACATCTGTTTAGTCATATAAATAAAAGTGTATATTGGGTGCATCCTCTATTACCCTCTTAATTGGGGCAACTTCAACTAAGAACTTCTGGAACTTGAATTGTGGGCAACTATTATATTGAAGGGATGGTTGTGTAATATTGAAACCTCATAAATAACATTTTGCTTTCCAATGAACAACATTTGAAATTATTAGTTCTAAGGAGCCTAAGCCTATAGTGTCTGTTTTTTCTGGGCTCTTTATTCCAGTTACTGATTACTGGCCATGTGATCTGGGAACGATGACAATTTGAGCCAGAGTTTCACATCTAATTAAGAAATGGGTTTATTAATTAAGTAAAAATCAAACACGGGATGGGATGTCCAGGACAGTATTATGGAAGATGTAGATGAGACAAGCAGGTATTTCTTTTATTGCTTATTCAGTGCAGGAAGCTTTCCAGAAAAATGCCAAATTACTTTAAAATGTTAATTTCTAACAAATGTAAAAGTATTCCTAAATTACTAAAATAATTTTTTGTGAATTCTATGCTTTGATCTGTGCTGTTATCAGTGCCAAAGATGAAAGATTGCAACAAATTAACATTGAATCAAATATTTAGTGTTGAAAGTTTACATTATTCTGTCACTACCTGATAGGATAGCATGCATTACATATCTTAAATGTCCTGGATTTTGAGATGTACAAAGAATTTTAAGGATCCTATCTTTAAAATAGAATGAAAAAGCAAGATATGATTATCTTAAGTATACTGTAGGCTGTTCATTCAGTTGGTAGTAGTACAGTATTTTAAATGGTAAAGATGAAACCTGGATTCACTGTTTCTTGCTCTTCTGATCAAGACCAGTTTTATATGCCAGGAAGGGCTTTGCTCTATTTTCAAATTATTCACAGTTCTGCTATTCAGACTAGTCTATTGCGTGTGTGGTTTCAAATTTAAATATTACAGCTGCTAATAGGACTATTTCCTTCTCCATAGGTTTGGTATGCCTGCAGTTTCAACTAAAGGTATGTGATTATGCGATTTAAAATATATATTATTATGGTTGGTTGCCAATCAGCCATATGTTTAAACTGGAATTGGCATTGAGTCTTTCCCAAGAACCTGGGATAGGCAGATGTTGTTTGATAGCGTTCAAGATATAGTTGCAGGATATAAGGTTTTCCAAGTAAAGCTGCCTTCTGCAATTGACTGATTGTGATTTTGTCAATGCCAATGGTGTTCAAGTGGTGCTCCAAATGTTTATTATTATGGTTCATTGCACAGTCAGCCAGATGTTCAAATTGGATTTGGCATTTTTATCCACCTATTCAGTCCTTCCAAGGACCCAGGGTAGGCAGATGTTATTTGCTGGTGTTAAAAGTTTCTTTGCAGGATAAAAGCTGTTCTGAGTATAAAGCTGACTTTTGCAATTGACTGATGGTGATTTTGTCATTATTATGGTTTGTCACAGTCAACCAGATGTTTAGACTGGATTTGGCATTTTTATCTACCCATCCAGTCTTTCCAAAAGACATGGTGGAATAGGCAAATGTTGTTTGATGGTGTTAAAAGTATCTTCATAGGATGAAAGCTATTCCAAGTAAAGCTGCCTCTTGCTTGATGGTGATTTTGTCTTTGCTGATAGTGTTGATGTGCTCCAGATATTTTGGAATTTCACCCAAGGTATCCATTACAGTTGGTACCATCTTTGCTTTCTTGTGCCTCAATCATTCTTCTATTTGCAGGTCTTTGTATTTTGTAACTTTCTATCATTCTTTTTATTCTATTGTGCTGTCTCCAGGTACTGCCACACCCACTATCTGGACTTTTTTGTCTTTCTTATCTACAGTTGTTAAATCCAAGGGGAGGGGGGTGTATGTGGCAGGTGCTTGTCTGAATTTTAAAGTCCCAGAACACTTCAGCATCTTCATTTTCTATCACTTTGTCTATTTTGTGGTCTCACCAATTCTTCTTTGCAGGCAAATGTTATTTCTTGCAGATATTCCAGTGCACACCACTGCTGCTATTTGTAGTTCCAGCATCTTACTTTTGAGAAGAACTAATAAAAAGTATCGCAAAATTGGGATAGTTTCCACATAGCTATTTGTAGTGACTACTTCAGATGGATAGTTTGTGGGGCATTGAAAAACTGACAGAGCCAATTTATCTGCCCATACTAATCTAAGATACCTACCTGCCTACATATTGCAAGTGGCTCTACTTAATTCCTACAGAGATGAAAAGACTTAGTAATTGTAGTTGATCACTCCCTGAATGAAAAAGTACTCTAATTCTTTGCTAAAAGGTATATAGCCACTCTGCATCTAAAAAGTGGATACTTCTCAAGATTTTCAAAAGGTGAGCTTGCTCTCAAAATCATCCCCAGGAATAAAACAAATTTGATTGTTAACAAAAACAGTCCCTAACCCCACCCCATGCTAATGGAAAGGTCTATGGCTTTCTGTGGACTCTTCCTAATTACGGAATAGTTGGCATGCCTTTTTAGAAGAGCCGTGTCACTAGATTCCATCTAGTATTAAAGTCACCAGCTCATAATTATTGAGTCAGGAAATTGGGAGATTGAATTAGTTAGCCAGATTTTATAAAAAGTCTTAGCCATTATTACATTGAGCATTAAAACCTTTTGCTGGAAAGTACACCTTTTATTGTAGTGGTTAAGGAATCAGGCTAGAAACAGGGCCAAGTGGGGGATGGAACCATGAGTTCTAGTCTCATCTTTGGCTCAAAGCCTTTCTCTCAGCCCTAGGAAGGAGGCAATGGAAAAGAATCGCTGAAAACTCCTACCAATAAAATTGCAGGGACTTGTCCAGGCAGTCTCCAAGAATTAACTTGATTGAATGGAAGAAAAATTAAAGACATTTAGTAATGTTAATTTTATGAGGATTACTGTAGCTAGTTCCACATGGAGAAAGACAGATCATATTTGTATATGGAATGAATCTGATAATGTTAAGTTGCCCTAAGGAGTGGTTGCCTTTCAAACCTAGGCTGGCTGGTAGGGAAAAGGAAGAGAAACTTGTATGATCTAAGGGGATTGAAGTATTAATATTTAGTTCTAGCAAAACCAGGGTTGAACATTCAATATATCAACATTATTAAATAAAAGTGATAGATTCTGATTTACTTAAGCAAATGAAAGGAGGCACTTTGGATTCAGTAATTTTTTTAAAAACAATTTCTTTCAGGTCTGAACACAGAAAGTAAGACACCAGTAAGTAGCTGCTTTGTTTCCTTATATAGTTGGCATAGTTTTAAATGATACTTCATTAAAGCAACTTGACATAGACAAGGGGTGTCAAACTCACGTCGTCACAGTGGCATCACATGATGTATCGGGACTTTTCCCCCCTTTGCTAAACCAGGCATGAGTGTGGCCAGCGCATGACGCATCCGGCCTATCGGCCGGGAGTTAGACAGCACTGACATAGATTATAATATTTATTAACTCAATCTGATAATCAAATCTGTTGGGACTTAATATAACATTGTCCTCAACTGTAGCACTATTTTAGGTGCCTCTGCAACTTTCTGGTTTTGTTTATATGTCTAAAAAGCTGTTGCTCAAATAATTATTTTCTCTCAGTATTCACCTGCTTTCACCTGTTTTAAACTATTGTCTTATTCTAAAACCACTATCCTCTAAAACCATTATCCTCTAAAACCACAATCAAACTATGGACCTTGTCTTGTTTTGTCTTGTCTTAGTTGCAGGATATATATTTTGGTATGTCATACATTTTTCTAACACTTCCTTCTTCACTACCCAAAAGTCTTATTTTTGTATTTTTTCTAAATATCCCTCCTTACTTCCTGATTTTAAACATCTCCTTCCTTCAAAGATCAGTTCTGCAAAGCACTTGTCTTAATCCCTTAGTGTTCCTTTCCAATCAAAATAAATATAAAATGTGTCCATACAATATTCATCTCTGTTAAACCTTGTCTCCTTTATTGTCAGATTGTAGAATGTAAGTTCCTTGGATAGAAACTTTCAGCAAACAAACGTGACTCTTCCCATATGACGTTTTGCTAAAGTTACTTTATAAAATGTCATGTACATGACTATTATCAATACAGCAGAAAAGTATTCAGTGATATCTATGGTCCATTATTATCAGTGGATCATTTGGTTTATACCCTACCTTTCATCCTCAAGGCTAAGTTTAGATTAAGCCCTCTTCTGGTTTTTTTCCCCCTCAACCTCTGTTGAAATAGTATGGCAGAGAGATAATACTGCTCCAAAGTTAGCAAGTAAGGTGAAAATTGACTTGAAACTAGGTCTCCCCAGTCCTAACATAATATCTTTAACCATTGTGTCACACTTCCTGGCTAGATGTGAACTAAAGCAAGCATAGAGTTTTACACTGAAAGTAGTCAATTGCTTTAAGTGATCCTTAAAAAAGAAGCAGCACAGATATATTATACCTGTCTTCGTGTGGCAGTTATCATTCCAAAGGTATCTGCAGGATTTCAGCAGTGAGTAAGTTGAAACTTTTGAGTTCTTTCCCCCATCTTGGCAATTTGCCAAGAAGACTACAAGTGTATATTGCTGCTCACACTCCTAAGAGCCATGGTGGCGCAGTGATTAGAATGCAATGCTGCAGGCTACTTCTGCTGACTGGAGGCTGCCACTAGTTTGGCAATTCGATTCTTATCGGCTCAAGGTTGACTTAGCCTTCCATCCTTCTGAGATTAGTAAAATGAGGATCCAGATTGTTGGGGGCAATATGCTGACTCTGTAAAACTGCTTAGAGAGGATTGTAAAGCACTGTGAAGCTGTATATAAGTCTAAGTGCTATTGCTAAACCTTGCAGCTACTTCAGAGATCAATCCTAGCAACAATATACTGTCTTTCCATTAGTATTATGCTAATAGAAAAGGATGAACTAACTTAGTAGCAAAAATTCGTTTTAGAGTGAAGGCTTCTTTTTTTCTATATAGCATTAAGATTAATTGGAGCCTATAATATTGGAATATGTTGAAAATATTTTCATCTGCTTATAGTTTAGTTGCTTCTATGTTAAGGAGCTTGATTGGTAAATACATAAAGAGTGCTAGACAAAGTATTGAGTTGAAAATAGTGGTTTCCACTTTTCCCATCCATGCATTATTGAAAACAAAAATAATTGGTACCGATTGATCTGCTAAAATAATATCTGAAAGTTTTCTCAGAAGTGATTTGCAGTAAGCTACTGATTCCGTGGATGCCATTTTCTTTTAATTCCATAATATGTTCAAAGTTTATTGCAGTTTCAGTACAGAAAGTAATGTTTTATTGTGTTTCAACAAATTTATCCATACTGGTATAATTTCAGCATTTATAATTTTGAAATCTTTAAATTTATATAAATATGCCCGTTTTCTATTGCTTTTCTAGGTAAATATGGACAAATTAAAGGAAAGAGCTCAAAGATTTGGTTTGAATGTTTCCACAATCTCCAGAAAGGTAAGATTTTAGGATAAGCTTTATATATAAAAAATGAGTATTTGAACTTGAAAAAAATGTCAACAATACATAAACTTGTCATTTTCCTGATATGTATTCTGCTAGATCTATCAAGTTTCAAATTACAGATTTTAAAGGATTCACATTAAGATGATAAATAACAATATTCATCATTGATTAAGAATACTTAGCTATTTTAGCATGTATTTTGACTGTCATGTGGGTACATCTTTTCAGATAAGATAATTAAAATATTTTTCTATGGTTTAATCTTTTTCTTAGGAAAGCAAATCTGCAAATCCAGGTTTCTTTTCTCATCAAGGTTATAATCTTATGTGCCTCTTCAAATTAATTCAGAGTTTGAATTAAGTAGAAAAGTTAAGACATCAAGGAGAAGCCTAGGCTAGAAATCTTTTCTTTGTTTTCTAATTTTCCTTGTGGAAGGATTTTTTTTATTGTTTTTTTGTTTTATAGAATATTTAGTGATACAAGCCCTTTCTTTATGTTGCCCAAACTTAAGTTTTGCCCCTTATCAAGAATAAACATTGATAAGATTCCTTCTTCCACTAGAAAAGTTCCCAAAATTGAATGTAAAGACTTTGAATTCCTAAATAAAAATATTTATTTTAATATTAAATATTAATTATTTTATATTATAAATTTATAAATATTAAATATTAATATTAAAAATATTTAAAAATAACAATAACAATATATAGAACAACATGTTCTTCAAGAAGTCCAGAAGAAGGTATGGCCGTGATTTAGCTGTGATTTCCCCCTAACCTTTAGCAAATGAACTGTTCCATCCCTCTTGGGATGCATGGAACGTTTAATGCATTCCATTCTGTAGGAAGGCACTGAACCTGGCACCAGGGAATTCAACCATGTAGAAAATAACTGGAGGTGGAGGCCACTTTCCTTCCCATCCTTTTCTTGGAGGGGGTGGGGGTGAAATTGTGCAAGTGCATTAAAGCTAGAATATGTGGAGAGACAGGTCAGAGTGAGAGGCTGTTCAAATGTCATTAACCTTGTCACCAGGGGTGCACATTTTTCAGGAAAAATATATGCTTTGTCAGTATTTATGGGCAGGTTTCCTTTAAGTACAATCGTGTAGGTGAGACATTATATCAATTCTAAGGTTTCTTTAAGAGCTCCCCCACAATTTAATCTTCCTAGAATTCAATCAAACATAAGCATTGTTTAATTTCTGTTCTTATGTGTGCAGCTATTACATTAGCAAATTACTAACATGGTGAAAATATCAACAAGAGAATGACATGTTTGAGGGTTAAAAAAAATCAATTATGAAATGCATACATTTTTAAACTATGTTTTATCTTTGTGATTGGCCTTGCATATATCAAGCAATAATTTCAGCCATTAGAACAATGATCAAAGACTTAATTTCTTTGTTCTACTGTTAAGTAGAATCCAGCTGCTTAGAAGTAGATTTCCTTTTTCTGAAGAGCATGCTCATGAATTTTATTGAGGAATATTATTGCTTGCTTCAATTAGCCTCTCGTATAGAGTTGCCCACCTGGGTGTTCTTTATAGCTTTTCATCGCAGAATAGCCTGGTTGCATGGATCTTTGCAGATTTTTAATGCCATGCATTGCAGCAAAATCTTTACTGTAAACCATTGTCTCTCAGGAGCCACATTTCATTTCCTATTCAAATTGGTTTTGAAAAAGAAAGGTGGGGGGGAAGGGAACATAGCCAAAGGCAATTTTAAACCTGCTGGGACTGCGGGAGTAAACTTAGATTGGAGTGAACCAGCTCTTCACCTAATCTGTAGCTTTGAATTTATTGCTAGTATAGATTCTATTAAGTTAAAAAAAAATCTTCTTCCTAAAAGATAACATTCATCCTCTTACAGTAAATTGTTACCGTTTGGTATAATAGAAGCAGGTGCTTATTTGTGTTTTTGTCAGGACGGAGCCATCAAATAAAATTTTAAAATAAATCAGGAAAGCATTTTTCTTTCCTGAACTAATCATACCCCTTCTCCTCTGTACTCGCATGGGAGGCCTCCTTTTAAAATTTACCCTCTGACCCAAGGCTGCTGTCCCTTGATTTCAGGGAGTTACACTTAAACTGCTCCCTTCCTTCCCTTGTAAATTTCCCCTACGTAGCAGCTGCTCTCAATACCACTCAACCCCTTGCTTCCCACTGGACCAGCTGATAGCTTGCAGGCTTCTGTGCATTAAGTGGGCTACATTGTAACACAAAATCACATTCTCAGAGAGCTTGGTGTTTTTTGTTTTTTTTGTTTACATAAAACAACTTTGTAGATCAGTAGTTCCTCACCTTTTTGAAAGAATCGCCCCCTTGAGCCATTGAGAAAGTTATCGCCCCCCTCCCCCAACATAACCTCTCAATCACAACACAGTTGTAATATTCAATATAATACATACAGTCTAATTTATGTAGTATTGGATTATTTGTTCTTCTTGTGGTCTGAAATATTCTCAACAATTTTCTCCAACATTATAATTAAGAAGGATTCATATATCTTTGTTCAGCCTTTCTGAAGGCACAATTTTATTTATTCATTTATTTATTACTACCCATCTCACTATCCAAATCAACCCTGGGCTGCTTTCAATACAGTAAAAACAGAAATATAAAACATTAACATTAACAATATTTAGATAGAACTATGAACCAAGTACACTAATTAAATTCCACCAGCCACCTCCAGGGTAAAGTGCCCCCTCACAGCCCCAAGCCAATTGGCAGAGCCAGGATTTGAGGCCCTTTCTGAAGGCCAAGAGGGTGGGGGTGGATCTCACCTCCAGCAGCAAGATGTTCCAAAGTTTGGAGGCGATGAAAGTAAAGGCTGTTCTCTTAGAACCTGCCAACTGAAATTCCTTGACTGATTGGGTCTGCACAGGCCCCTTCTGCAATAGGGAATGGCGTGGATCAATCCTATTGAGATGAGACAGAATCTGGTTCCATGACATGAGGACTTTAAAGATGATTACCAGCACCTTGAATTGGATCAAGAGCAAACCGGCAACCAGTGCAGCTTGTCTAATAACAGTATTTATATGTTCAACCCTAGGGCCTTCTAGAACGGTCTGTCTAGAACTGGTGGCCATGAATTCCTGAGCTACTTTGAAGTGATCCCCAGGGATAGCAGGTTGAAGTCCCCCAGACCTTAAGCCTGGGGAACTCCACCACCAACCCTGGGCTGGCCTCCAACAGTTCTGCAACACGGAGGCTAATATAGTAGCAACAGTCCTGACTGATCCTGCAAAGCCAGTTTCAGAAACAGTGTCTCACAACTAAAAACATGGAGAACATTGCTCCTGAAGGTTAAGAGATTCCAGGATGACCGCTGCTGCCCCCACTCCCTTGCCCTGAGGTCTTTGGCTAGTGAGAGGGGAGCTCTCCCCTCTGGTGTCAGACAGATCTTGGTGATGCACACCAGATTGGTTTGCTTCTTCCCAATAAGGTCACAAATAAGGAGTGCCTAATTATTGACCAACCCAACATTCAGCAGCAGCAGCTGAAGGTCCAGGCCTCCGTGGGTTTACTGTCCAGAGTCTAGGCATGAATTCAGAAGGCCAAGAACACACTACCAATATTAAACATTGGATGCTTCTTCCCCTGTAATAGCCTTCCCTCGGTTTCCCTTCTAAATTTCCCCATGTCCACCACTACTCAGATATGTTGCCCTGCTCTAAACCTCACCACATGATCCTCCCTCTCCAAGCTTAGCCTTCCTTCCCTATGAGCTAAGAGCTCTGCTATCCCCCCAGCCTTCCACACTCATCCAAACTCTTGGTGGGGGAGGACTGTCCCTTGATACTTAACTGTCAGCTCTCAGCACCAGCAGAGGTGCCCATTCCCCCCAGCCCCCACCCACAATGCTCTCCTCCCCCAAAGCTGGTCTCCCACCAGTCAGCTGAGAGAGGTCACATATATTCACCCTCTGCCTAATCTCACTCGGAGTGGAAGGTGGGAAACTTCCAAAACCAGCACACAGCCCTCTTTAAATTGCCACCTAGGGGCTGGCTCCCCAAGTGCCTTGGGGAGCCCATCACTCTCATGCCACCAGAACTCAACTAATTTTTTCAGATAGAAATGCTTAAACTAAGAGAATGATGGTTTTGAAAATAAAAATCATTGTATTCCTTGTACTGTCTCAGCATTTTAATAATTTGTCTACCTGTATTTCAGACTTTGTCCTAAATAGAAATCATCTCTACTTCATTGCTATAGTATTATCTCTGTGATGTTTTGAGCCTATGAAAATAAAGCTTGTTAGTTCACCACCTATTTGCATTATATCAACATAATCTTGGGGTAGCATTAATAGTAAGCAGTAGATGAGCTTTAGCACTCACTTTCAACAAGACTATCTTTAAGTCTTCCTCCTTTACCACCATCACAGCATATCTGAGATCCTTGTTTCATCCACCAGTTTTAATTTCAATTTCTTCTAGTCCAACATTTGTGATGAAAAAAAAATCTGAAGGTAATAAAGTAAATTGATAGGTATACTTTGGTGTTCCCCTTTCCCAATTTTGAACCATTTAATAGCTATATGTTTTGGTCTGTGGCTTCCTGGTAATCATAGTGTTCTGACCAAGGCTTCCTGAGACAGTAACAATCACACCCTTAGTCCCCAAAAATCCTCTTTTTATTTCAATGGCTGTGAATTATATGCATTCACAACCCATAATGAGTCCCAAACAGTTTGTGATTAGTCCCAGCAGAAGTCTGCCACAGTATTTTCAGGATAAGGCGGATAAGCACCCACCTTTGAAATGCTGCCAACGACTAAATTGCCAATTAGCTGTACAAGGCCAAACGGAGCACAAAGTCAACATGGAGCTTCAGAGTTTAAATCGATCAGAACAAAGTAAGTTTCTTCCTGCAAAGGTTCATGTCCCTTTGCTCCTCCTTTATGTCTTATGGGAGGGGCCAATCATCTCCAAGTCTTACTCCCGAGTCGCCCCTTTTGTCTTAACTGTTCTTACTTTCTGACA